AGAGATCTTGCAGCAAGAAATATATTAGTATCAGATGAAGGAACAGGAATATGCAAGGTAAGAGATTAGTACTAACAATTGGACTTTATATAGTATGGTCTCAGATTGCTGACTTTGGTATGTCAAGGGATCTACAAGATGAATCTTATTATATTTCACAATCAAAAAAGATTCCAATAAAATGGACAGCACCAGAAGTAATTAGAAACTATATAATTAGAATATTGAATTGTGTATGTTTAGGCATTACATTATAAGAAATATTCGAGTGCTAGTGATGTGTGGAGTTATGGAGCTGTAATGTATGAGATTTGGTCTTTAGGATGTAAACCATTTGAAAAATCTACTAATCAAGAAGTATGATAATATTAAATTCTTATCACTATTTTTTACTTTTTTTCTCAGTCCATTAGACTGGTTGATTCAGGCTATAGATTACCACCTCCTCCAGGATGTCCTAAACCAATGTACAAACTAATGATCCAATGCTGGTATGTATTTATTATTAGCTCTACTATACTGTGATGAGTATATAAACAAAAACAAACATGTTTGTGCGTGTCTAATAATTACTAACATCTAATGGCATTATAGCACTTTATAAAGTAATAAAGGACTACACTGTATCCAAACATTTGTAGTCTGGGGGATTATAATATGTACACCGTCACACACAAATGAATGTGTAATAAACATGTAGCTAGGTAATGCATTCACACCCACACACAATCATATTAGTGTCCTGAGAGAACTGTATATGGTAGGTTTATAGTAAATATGAGTACTATTAATACACAAAGGTGTGATCAATGATGTGTACTTGGACTAAATTAGGAAGATTAGATGTATCACATGCCAATAAAGGCATAATGAACATAACAGTTACAGCATGCAAGCTCCATGCATGCCCACAATATTCAGTGTTATAATGATATGCAGTAAATCTACTGTTTTCTGTTTAATTTTATACAATTTAATGTAGGAATCCTAATTCTCATAATCGTCCAAGTTTCTCAGATATATCATCAAGTCTATCCTCACCTGATAAACAATTACTAATGATTAATAAAGAGGATCCTGTTACTGTACTGGGTGGAGCTTTAGAAACAAGCCACTCCCTCTACACCGACTTACAGTACATGTACAAGAACTGATTGCATTTTTAACTTGTGATTTTAATTAATATTACCATGTGATTCGGTGTTTAACCTTTTTATAGTTTTTATTCAATAATTTGCTTGTGCTATCTGATAAAATCTAGACAGACTGTAACTAAGGAAGTTGTAATTAAGTTTTGTGGTCACCTAATACATTAAAGGGTAAGCGTTTGCACGCATACATACATGGTCCTCCATACTACTATCCTTTATACTATTAAAAGAAGCTGCAAAACTGAGCAGATGACTGTCGAGATGATTCTCTCCCTTTCTATTTTGCTTACTTTTGTTTTGTTAAATGGTACAGTACAGTCTACTACTTGTAGTACTGAAGGGTTTATGGAACTAAGTTTACTGGAGGCTAAAACTGGTACTAGATCTAAGAACAATGGACCAACTACTGCAGGACTAGCTTTTGAATCAAAAAGGACAAGATGGATCATCACTGAAGAAGATAAGCAGTTCAGTGAGGATTGTACTTCTACACTGACTGAAGTTTTAGTTGGAGTTGACATTAGAACTGAAACTGAGGACAGGAATCAATATCCTAAAATAGATATCTGGGAACGAAGAGCTACTTTTTACAGGAGAAGATTCCGATCCATTGCATTGAAACTATCTCCACACAATTTCACCACTAATGGACTCTATCGTTATACATTACCTACTCCTTTAATTATTAATGGTATTTTTGCTGATTACAGACTAGGGGTATTCCAACCTCGTGATGATAAAAGTGTTGTTAGATTATATAAAGTAACTGGTGCTGGTCAAACTGGATTGCTTGATAGTATAAGCGAAGATTTAGTTGAAAGAGATTTTGAAGATGATGGCGATTTAACATTAGAAATGTCAAGGATTCTAATACATCCAATTACAAGTATGTCGTATTAATACTGTAAAGCATGTTATTTTGATAGTTTCTGTACTTTAAATCATGCATCAAAATTGAGCAAAAAAATTTGAATTAACTACATTAAAAACATGATTTTTATGGAACCAGTAAAAATTATCTAGATAGGGTATGACAATAATTAATGTATATAATTCCTTATGTCTTTATAGGAAGCAACTGCAACTATCCTCCAATTGACAGTTCATTTAATACAAACAGTCTATCAGTTACTAATGTAATATCAGTCAGTGATATAAGAGCTTTTCCTGATATACAGTTCACATGTAATGGTATTATTACTAACTGGATAATTGGTATTACACAGAATCAGACCACAAGCAAAGGTTATCCTAACATTTATTTAAAACGTTCTTCTGAACTGATTCATGCACTAACTGTTGATACTTCTGCTGCTACATCAAGTAATGGTAATGTATATAACTTTACAAGTGATATTGAAGTACAGTATGGAGATATATTAGTAATCAATGTAACCACTAATAGTAATCCAATGTATTATCAACAATACAATGGACCATTGAATTATGAGCTTGATAGCAGTAATGGATTAATACCATTGGAACATAATGACTATCCACTGATATCAGTTGTGGTAGGTAAGTTATGCTGACCGTATGTACTTCCTAATTGATTTACTATTCCTTGTAGAGCCAATCCATGTATCCTCTAGTACTGTAACTAATACAAAAATGGTATCAAGTACATCTACACACATCACTGCTACTGCTGTAACACCAATTAATAGCAACTTGGCTTCTTTGACTATTAGTACAGGCCACAGTACTATAAAGTCTGCATCAAGCAGCTACTTGTCACACAAAACAGATTTACCTACAGAATCAAAGGAGTCCAACACTTTTGTCTACAGCACAAGTTTGATACCAGCTCCTACATTGCAACTAACTTCAGGCAATATACCTACAACACTAGTAGCAGTACTTAGTACAGTATTTATATTACTGGTAGTTACTATACTAGTAATATTAATAGTGAGTGTATTAGTGTGTAGGAGACGTTCAAAAAATGGGATTGGTTCATCTGCTGCTAATGATCTCATTACTGATACTGAAACATCTAATACCCTCCAGAAGGATATTCCAACTATACCACAAGGTACCATTATCTGCATGTTATTATTATTATTATTATTATTATTATTATTATTATTATTATTATTATTATTGTTATTATTATTATTATTATTATTAATATTGTTGTTGTTGTTACTATTAGATTATGAAGAGGCAAGACCAATAGCAGAATGGCATAAAAGTATATTGTCCGACATTAATTTATCAACTAATCCTTCTTATGGAATAACTAGAGGATCAGAAAGTAAGCTAAGTATTCAAATCATAATGCATGTATTATGATGCTTGAAACAGATATAAGTTCTCAAAGTGGTATTGACAATCCTTCATATGAATTTAACACAACAAGAAATGAAAGTAAGTAAGAGTTCAACTTAATGTCAATACAACTTATTGTAAATTATGGCAGTTGGAATAAGCTCAAATTTTCTACATAGCGTAAGGACACCAATATACATCTTAAAATGTAATAAAAATTTCAGGTAATTATGGAGCCATTTTTTAAAAAAATCCTGGGCTATAGCCCATGGTTTTCAGAGTTTTGGCATTTTTATAAAATGGCCGTAACTCAAAAAATTGTAGTTGGAATCAGCTCAAACTTTCTACACAGCATGAGGACATCAATATGTACCAGAAAATGTAATAAAAATTTGGGGTGATTTCGGAGACATTTTTTGGAAAAAACCATAGGCTATAGCCTTGGGTATTTTTCAGAATTTTGGCGTTTTCTTAAAATGGCGGTAACTTGAAAAATTGAAGTCGGAATTAGCTCAAACTTTCTACACAGCATAAGGACATCAATATGTATCAGAAAATGTAATAAAAATTTGAGGTAATTTCAGAGACATTTTTTGGAAAAAACCATGGGCTATAGCCTTGGGTATTTTTTGAATTTTGGCGTTTTCTTAAAATGGCCGTAACTTGAAAAATTGAGCATAAGGTCATCAATATGTATCAGAAAATGTAATAAAAATTTGGGATGATTTCGGAGCCAATTTTTGGAAAAAACCATGGGCTATAGCCTTAGGTATTTTTCAGAATTTTGGCATTTTCTTAAAATGGCGGTAACTTGAAAAATTGAAGTCGGAATCAGCTCAAACTTTCTACACAGCATAAGGACATCAATATGTATCAGAAAATGTAATAAAAATTTGAGGTGATTTCAGAGACATTTTTTGGAAAAAACCATGGGTATAGCCTTGGGTATTTTTTGAATTTTGGTGTTTTCTTAAAATGGCCGTAACTTGAAAAATTGAGCATAAGGTCATCAATATGTATCAGAAAATGTAATAAAAATTTGGGATGATTTCGGAGCCAATTTTTGGAAAAAACCATGGGCTATAGCCTTAGGTATTTTTCAGAATTTTGGCGTTTTCTTAAAATGGCGGTAACTTGAAAAATTGAAGTCGGAATCAGCTCAAACTTTCTACACAGCATAAGGACATCAATATGTATCAGAAAATGTAATAAAAATTTGAGGTGATTTCAGAGACATTTTTTGGAAAAAACCATGGGTATAGCCTTGGGTATTTTTTGAATTTTGGCGTTTTCTTAAAATGGCTGTAACTTGAAAAATTGAAGTCGGAATCAGCTCAAACTTTCTACACAGCATAAGGTCATCAATATGTATCAGAAAATGTAATAAATATTTGGGATGATTTCGGAGCCATTTTTTGGAAAAAACCATGGGCTATATAGCCTTAGGTATTTTTCAGAATTTTGGCGTTTTCTTAAAATGGCCGTAACTTGAAAAATTGAAGTCGGAATTAGCTCAAACTTTCTACACAGCATAAGGACATCAATATGTATCAGAAAATGTAATAAAAATTTGAGGTGATTTCAGAGACATTTTTTGGAAAAAAACCATGGGCTAGAACGACTAACGAAAATACGAAATGAAAATCCTACTCGTGACGCAAATTCTACTCTACATTGTACTTTTAATGTTATTATGTAAGAATTACGGATCACCTTGCAATGTAGAGTAGAATTTGCGTCACGAGTAGTATTTTCATTTTGTATTTTCGTTAGTCGTTCGGAATCCTACTTCATCTTGTTTTTTTAAATTTTTTATGTTCTTGTTTGTGTTGATTTTTTAATAATATTTCATATTTTCATTGGTCATTTGGAATCCTACTTCATCTTGTTTTTTTTTAATTTTTTATGTTCTTGTTTGTGTTGATTTTTAAAAATAATATTTATAGTATTTCTTTAGTTGCAATTGTGATACTTTTTGATTTTACACAAACAATAATTTTCTTTATTATTATTATCATTGTTATAACATTTATGAGAGACAGCATTGAATCGACATGGTGAAGGAAAATCAACTATACTGATGACAAGTGAAACTAATACTAGTCTTGACACAAGTCCTTGTTCAAGAATCTGTGAGCTAAGAGTGTCCATCTTCCCTGCTATTCCTGTTCTTCCAGGCTGTTGTCAAGTTCATAATTATCATTGCATATCATAAGTCATAACATTAATTAATTGTTTGTTTTTTTAAATAAAATAAAATAAAACACTTGATAAAACAGTAACATGTAAAATCAATACCTTCTTTTAGCTGGAAACCTCCACTAAAGTATTGCAGTAAGTTGATTCCAAGCATAGCTTGGTAAAAAAATAACTTGCTTCTTCCAGAGCTGCAGATCTGAGCATGCGCAACCACACCCAAATTTTGGAGCACATGGCAAGCTTCTTTAATTAACAAAATGGCGGCATGTAGCTAAGATGGCTCGATCCAGCAGTCACAGTATCACTTTTTTCTTACTTGAAGAATGATCTGATGGGACATGGACCTGCGCATAGACTGTTGGAGTAGATTGGTGTAAGAATTATTCTTGTAGCACCAACTGATACTGAGATACACACCGACAAATGGATTGACAGGACTTATGACTTGATGATGATGAAGATGAAAAAAAGGTGGCTGAACAAAACGGCCAGTTCGCCGATTTTTGACTTTTCGCTTAGACAAGATCTAGAGCCACGCTAGTTGTACCATTGGAGTCCTCTGGTCAAGATAAGGTCCTCTATAAAGTCTGGTGAGCATAGGAGCTCGTTTTCCTGGTATAGCAAGGCTGCAAAAGTCGTGGCAGCCATTTTGTTTGGGGGTGAATCCTACTTAGTAACGCTACAGCGTTACTAATTATAGCCTTGGGTATTTTTTTAATTTTGGCGTTTTCTTAAAATGGCTGTAACTTAAAAAATTGAAGTCGGAATCAGCTCAAACTTTCTACACAACATAAGGTTATCAATATGTATCAGAAAATGTAATAAAAGCTTGGGTTGATTTCGGAGCCATTTTTTGGAAAAAACCATGGGTTATACAGCTTGCCACTTCTTATAAATTAGCCATAACTCAAAACATTTTCCTAGCATAAAGACAACAATATTTATCAAAAAATGTAATGATTATTCAAAAAATTGGAAAATTTTAAATTGCTCACAACTCAAAACACAAAATAACTTAACTACAAAAAATTGGCAATTATCTATTCAAATGTTACTTTATTACCATTATATTAATTATTTTATTAGGTAATAGCGAAGAGTCACTGGTATATGATGAACCAAGGGTAGTAATGCATAACAGAGAAATGCAAGCATCACCGTATCATATAACATAAAACTAAATGAACTTCAGTGAAATTGTATAAATATTGTCATTGTTATTATTATTTATACAGTAGTACATAATGAAATATTTGTTTGAATGTTTGAATGGACACAAGGATTGTATATAACTAATGGAAATAGTTTAACAATGTATGGGTAATAATAATATTACTATTTTACACCCAAGTCTATGAGGTATATTTGCTGAGCTTTGTAATGACAATCTGCAACTTTAATAGAAACCCATACATCAGAAACCTAGCTGACTAATATCACCTATTAAGCTTGAAATACTTGACAATTTGCAGCTTTTCAATAGAATGCAAGCAGTTCATTTTTGTCACCTTATCAATCAGTACCTACTCTACTGCAATGGATGTATTTGGCCTGAACTACACTCTTGCTGAAGATGTAAACGGTCCTTTGCTAGCTGTTGTACTCACACTGGAACTGATAGCAGCATTAGTGACCAATACTATTGTTTTGGCTGCCACTCTCTCTCAACAGAAGTCCTTAAAGTTACCATCAACAATCCTCTTCACTTCACTGATTATGATACATTACGTAATGGCCTTCATATACATACTGTCCTGGCTCATATCAGTAATAAGTGGAGGATGGATATTTGGAACATCAGAAGAAGAAAAAGAAGCAACTTGCAATGCTGCTGGATTCGTGGTTTGCTACAGTCTAAGTGTTATCAATGCTACACTGACTGCAATATCTGTTGATCGGTGGCTATTCATTGTCAAGCCCAACTTTTATAAGCAATACATGAAACCCAAGGTAACTCTGGTCCTGGTACTTAGCATATGGATATTCTCTGGGCTAACTTTTATAACAACATTTTTTGGAATAGGAGGATTTGTCTTTACGACTTTGGGATCATGTGGACCAAAATTCAAAGATGAAACTGGCTTTACCATTTTATTATTGGCAATCTTTTTCCCAGAAATAAGCATTGTCATAGTCACATCAGTTTGGACATATTGCTTTACAAAGAAATTCATTCGGGAACATGCTCAGCTAGCAGAAAACAATGTATATGTGTCAAAAAATAGAAGGCTAACTGGAATATTTGGATTAATGCTGATAGCATATGTGATATGCTATGTTCCTTCTCTCATTCCTATTATACTAAATCAGTTTCATGATGTGCCAGCAATGTGGATTGCTTTTGGTTTGGTATGCATTTTGGCAATGACATTCATCAATCCAATTATCCAGTCTTTTTTCAGAAGAGAAGTCAAAGAAGAAATAAAGAAATTCTGCAATATTATCAAGTGCTGCCCACACAGATCCAATGCAATAATGGCTGGATAATGTAATCTATCATAAATTCTGTTATTGTTGAAGACAAGTATAGCTCATGCATGTTTTACAGTGTACTGTCACAAATAATTTTAATTGAATAGTGTATATTTATGTAGATGTACATATTTTAAAGTAATTTTAATTAAATAAGTTACTTTTTCAGTGAAGTAGATAAAAGACGATGAACTTGATAGAAGTTGATGATTTGTAGTACATTCCTGGTATCACATTGATGAGATTTTAATGTACTCCAGCACATAGGGAATATACTGCCTATGTAGGAAATATCATTACTGTTATGATGAAGGGTTTTATAATAACGTTAACTAATGAACGTAAAGTTATGGCCACATTAAGCAATTCAATGCTTCCTTTTATGTTCATTGTTTACTTTTGTGGTGATCAGAGGGACCCAACCTGTGCTTTAAAAGAACATTAAGTGTGTAGGTGGTATCATAATTATTAATTCTACATAAATAGTGCAACAAGATATTATAAACACAGTTGTAAATATAAGTGTGGGTGATGTTGCATATAAATATTAGCAGCAAAACTAAACACTCTCAGATAACAGTAAGCATGCCTTCTTTTCTATCTTTCCTTTTATTTTTGCTTATTCTTTTGCTGTTAAATGGTACAGTACAGTCTAATGATTGTAGTACTGAAGGATTTATGGAACTAAGTTTACTGGAGGCTAAAACTGGCAGTACTAACAACAATGGACAAACTACTGCAGGACTAGCAGAATCAATAAAAACAAAATGGATCATCACTGAAGGAAATAAGCAGTTTAGTGAGGATTGTACTTCTACACTGACTGAAGTATTAGTTGGAGTTGACATTAGAACTGTAACTGAGGACAGGAATCAATATCCTAGAATAGAAATATGGAGGGAAATATCTCATAACTATAAAGACCCAGTATCTGCTGAACTTAGATTATCTCCACACAGTTTCACTACTAATGGACTGTATCGTTACACATTACCTACTCCTTTACCTTTTGTGGATGCATTTAATAGAGGCTACAGATTAGGAGTATTCCAACCTCCTGATGATAGAAGTGTCATTAGATTTTATAAAGTAACTGGTACTGGTCAAATTGGAAGAGTAGCTGATATTAGAGATGATAGGGTTGACAAAGATCCTGAAGATCATGAAATAATATTACAAAACTCAAATATCCTAATACATCCAATTACAAGTATGTCATTAATGAAATGTATTTATCATTTAATGTATTTATAGGTAACAGGTGCAGTTATCCTCCAATTGAAAGTTCATTTAATACAAACAGTCTATCAGTTACTAATGTAATACCAGTCAGTGATACAAGAGCTTTTCCTGATATACAGTTCACATGTAATGGTATTATTACTAACTGGATAATTGGTATTACACAAAATCAGGATACAAGCAAACATTATCCTAACATTTA